TGTGAGTTATGAGATAAGGGAGGGACGGACGAGCGGAAGGAAAAAGCAAAATGCAGGACGGAATTGCGTCAATGAGGCAAACTAAAAAAGGTGGATATCTATGAGTTGCGATTGATGCAGCAGTAGAGGACTACTCAGCCTCAAAGAGGGCATAGTTTTCAAGCCCTTTCACTTTGTGCTCTACTCGCATGGATGAGCCAGCTGACTATCAGCGTAGCTTTTGCAAAACTCTCCCCTTCACTCTCCGTATTGGCTTTGCACAAACAAAATTACAATCCTTCCAGTCATCTACTTTATATGGGCAGCTAACCCCCAATTTTTGAATTACTTTGAATCGCGAGTTGCATTTTGTGATAATCATTACTTATAAGAAATCGTAATGTAAGTTTGTCCGTATGTGTGTGTTTGTCACGAAATTACTTCATTTGTCCTGAGAAAGTCAGAGAGCAGTTATCAAGCGTTATCATGTTAACTGCAACACACTGAGTAATGAGCAATTTTCTTGTAACACGGTGTTCTTCGTGTCTGTATGAGGGGCTTTGCGATCGGGATAAAATATCTGCGTCCTTCTTCGTCAATAAGGCATTGAGAGGTAAGATCAAAACTTCACAACTTCCAGAAGAGAAACGCCTACGATGGCATTTTAGCTCTCCAAAAAAGGGCCAGTGCGAGCCTTGGAGGAGAAGGAAGCACTGAATGTAAGCATAAAAGAAGAACTAAGAGTACGAAAAAGCAGCGAGAATACAGAGTGTATACTAACATCGTACTACGCCGTTAGATCACGCATGGAAAGATGTTGCCAAAAGGGTGTCCACGCAAAAGCAGAAAATAATTTCTCATCCATCTAAATATCAGCTGCCGTCGTGGCACTGAAATATCATGATGATGCAGAGTTCTGCGCAACATATGAGAATATGTCACATTGTCTTTAAACAACTGCTCCAAATAACCTCCTCTTACAAATGCAATAGACAGAGTATAAGTATTTCTTATTAAGCAACTACTCTGAGGCAAAAACGGATTGCATACAGTACAAGGACGCTTGTGAAGAAGTGATTGCTCTCATCGTGTCCTCATAAAGAATGTTTCCAGCATATATGTCTTAGATTGCTAAATTCAAATGTGCACCTCCTGGCCATTGCTTTATAGCCTCTAGTAAAACTCAGAGTATAATGCAGATGTTGTTTGTCAGTCGAAATTTCCATCTCAATTATGTTTAAATTTTCTCCATTATGTTAGTCAATAGTTAGTACTGCTAAGTACAGATCGTTTGGTGCCATGTTTAGTAAAAATCTTATCACCCCTATCACCAACGGTTCCGCCGTTCTCCGCCTTTTTGATCGCAAGCCATACCTCCTCTGCTGCAATGAGTGGTGCTGGTCCTTTCACAAGGTAAACTGGTGGGAAGGTTTCAATGCTGCTAGTTCACGAAATGTCTTTAGAGCACGTTTGTAATCCTTATCTCCTCTGTTTTCTTAACGTTATGTTAAGCTTGTCTTTGATATGGCAGAAGTGTTTCATATCTTTAACGGACTCTATTCTCCTTCTCGCAACTTGGTAGATCTCTCGTACTCCCTCGTGAGATTCCAGTTTCTTTTACAGCCCTCCACCCGTTCTGCTTCTTTACCATTTTTGCAGCATATTTCATTTTTAGATGCCTATGTCGATTGCTTCAATTTTGACTTATGCCCTTCCTTGTACGTATTCTTTCTTTTATCAACGCATGAGCCTCGTCATTCCACCACCAAAGTTGTTTACTGTTCTCCTTCTTCTCGGCTTCTCACAACTCAATAAATTCCTTGTTAACTAATGGAGTTTATGCATCATAATTTCCATGATTGCTCTCTGCTCTGGTTTGATTTTTCAAACTAGGCCGGTAGAGCATCAGAACTTTATTAGTCATAGAGTTACCCTCTAATTTCCAACATTTTTGATAGGTTCTTCGTTGTAATTCAATAATTTGCTTTGCATCTCAACTAGAATGTTTGGGTATGAAAGCACTCGCTTTTAGGTATATAGCTTGCACCTTGACTCTGGAATCCTGTTCTTTGAGTTCAATATTGCGTTTAGCAGTCAATTTGTTCGACGACTCCCACATTGCTTATCCTTTTTCTATTTAGCATAGCACGTGTTGACTAATGCTAGGCTATAGGCTGTAGCGAACCCAAAAATGCGCTCGCCTTTTTTTTGCGTTCCGTGTCCATGGTTTCTGTCGCTCTGCGCACTGCTCTTTCCTCTATGAGCGCTGAAGTATGCTGTAAGCAGGTGTATCTCATTTTGCGGTAAGGATGTAATATGATGTCAAGCCCCTGCCAGAACATAATCATTCCTTCCTCTTTGCATCCGGCATACGGAAAATAAGCTGTAGCAGTTCCTCTCCTAATGTCAATCTTGATGCTCATAAGTCGATCGCTTGACCGAAAAGCGGCCAATTTCGGTTCATAGGCTTCCTGAGATAACTATGCACTCTTTTTTCAATGCTGATCGTGCCCTTATAGATGAGCTTATGTCCTTCTACGATATCATGCGATCTCCATTTCATTCTCCACGCTTCCATTTCAATTCCTTTACCCAGACTATACGACTGTCTGAGGAGGTCCGCCAGCTCTCGATCGCGTTTAGTCCTGGCAATGATGTTGGCTAGAAGATCTCTGATAAGGGAAGGATGCAGTGTAGCAGTGACGATCCGGTAACCTAAGTCTTTATCAAAAATATATGCCAAATCCGTTTTCCGTCCGCTGAACGACATTGTAGGAGAAGCTCACGTTTTCTCCTGCTTGATCTCCGGTAAATGCTTCTCTGGATGAACTAACTGAACTTTCTTTTTGAATCCGTGTTTTTTAAATCCTTCTTGTTTTTCCATTTTCTTTTCTCTTCAGGTGCCACGAACGGAAGAGTAAGGTGACGAGTCCCAACTCAATCCACCAATCATTCATCTAAAGCGTTTTTTATCCTACAATTAACCAACAACTTGGTGTTTGAAATAACTAGCAATAGTCCCCATCCCAAGCATGCAGTAATGTGAAATTTAGTTGCATGAACTTAGATATGTGTGCACGAGTAAACATGGTGAATCTGAAATTCTACTAAAAAAGCAAAAGGGACTGATCCAAAACTTGAATGAATTCTTAAGAAAGATGAATCAATGAAAAACATGCGAGAGTGATGATTATGTGATTCTGAAGAGTAAGCAACCATCCTCAATCAAAAATCAATCATTGAGAATACCAAATGTGTTGAAAACTTGACAATTGTAAAGTGAATCTCATTTAGGGAAGAAAAACGCTCCAAATGAATGAGAAATAAACAAACTTACGACTCTCCTCGTTTTACGCTCCTCTCGGTACAGGAATGAAAAAAAGCTTGAATATTAAAAAGGATTTCTAGCAAAAATTCGTTTTTACAACAGAGAAGCACGCTTGTAATATGGCTCAAAACCAAACGGCTCACGACTCATAGGCACCTGAGTTCGTGCGCGAAGCGGACGTGATAACTTGGGTTTTCATAACCCTTGAAAGGCTTATATATTTTTGAGAAAGATTCTTTCGGTATATATCTCTTTCCGAATCGATTATTGCCTTCAACTAACTAGCTTACCTACCAGTCTTCGCTTGTCAGACGGCGGTCCCCAGACGGGAAATGGAGAGATTAAACATTTTGCCTCCGAAAGCTAGGTTAGGATAATTATTTGATATGGTTTACTCAAGTTCATTGTGGGATAGCGGGTTTGAAGTTTGTTCAAAACAATTGAATGAATAGAAAAGCGTCATGCCGTTCATTTGAAGAAATGAGAAGTATTCTGTGAGGGACTCTAATCTTTGAACACTGGCGACAAACGGCAGGCTTTAAACTTATTCGAAATACCGGCTATCTCAAAAATAACAGCAGTAGGGGTTGGAGAAGGCTCAAAAGTTCTTTAGAAAACAGGGCAATCATGAAGATTTGAAAATCTGTCAAACTACATTTGGTAATAACATCTTGGATTGTTGCTTCAGCTAAGTATCTCCTTTCCGCAGGTAAAGCTTTAAAGTTTGTATCAATATCATGCTTAGGGATATCAAGAACTATTTTTGTTAAGCTCTGCATTCCAGCTGCAATGTAAGTAGAATCGCTTTTTTAAAGATAAATTAGCCCTGCGATTCGTGCAAGATTCAAGAGATTTGATAATTTCCTCCTTTAATCTCCATCAAAAATAGTTGATATGTACTGTCCGATAATAGGTGCTCAATACTCTTCTCTTACTTATAACATTTTTTGATTAATACTAACCTTGCTCTTAACAATAGAAGCCATAGTTTGTCCACGGTAATACTAAGAACAATCTTTTGCTGTTCTTTGACATCTTCATGAACAAACTCATCTGTATACACCTGTAATTCTCTTAGTGATAGTGTTAGTGTATGTGAATTGGTGTAAATGATGTGGATAAGAGAATATCGTACCTCCAATAAGAAAGTTTCTTTTCGACCTCTACCACTTTTGGACCCACTTTCGAGGTTCGTAGCCGTACTTTTGAATTTCGCAACTGGTAGCATATATGGAGATTTATCTGAAATCTATGTAAATGTAAACAAGCCGCACTTGCTTTTAGCTACCGCTATTACCTATACAGTCTTTTAAGGTGGAGCAAAACAAGTTGCTCTCTCCTCCCTTCTCTATCAATGCTAGCGCAGAAATTATGAAAATGTATTTGTGAACCGTATGTGGGTGCATGTGCGTCAAAAAGAAGCTGCAGGATGGTTTAGTTAGAAGTGAAGATAACCCTATACTCTACAACTTTTTTTCGTGAGTTAATTAAAGTACAGACTTACTGTAAAAGAAAGTTTTTGCAGAGGATGCGTAGAAGCAAAATCGTGAAGGGGATGTCTCGAGAAGGTACTATACTAAGTCCCTTTTTGGTCAGCACTGGTCAATCCATTCAAACGTACTCAGCTTTTGCATGCAATATACTTTTAGAGTTTTTGATAATAAAGCTATTTTACTATTGATTGGTTTTGTATTTATGTGCGGACTAGTTGTTGATGGAAGTGAGGAAGAAAGGCGCCATCCCCGCCTCTTACCCCTACCCCTGTGTCAGCCTTAGATTTGTAGCACCTGTGGCCGTTGCTATCATAGCGGCTGGCGCTGCCAACATCCACATCCAATGCCCATGAAAATGGGCAATGCTTGCAACGGTGATGCAAGGTTCCATTCTTCTCGAGTTGAGTAGCATCAAGCTTAGGGTCATCTCGAGCCTTTTTCAAGCTAATGCTCGTTGGCTTCGTACACGAAGCCCAGTAGAATTGCATGTGCCAGTGCACACTACGTCCCTCTGTCCAAAACCAACTATTCCGTTGCATCTTACGTATGCGTTTTCAAAACACTTCCATTATTTGCAAATCATTTTTGTTCCATATCTATTTAGAGTCAATGGATCCTTACAACTTTAGTTTATTAATGACCGCCCTTTTTTAGCCATGATCACAGAGACCTTTTTAACAACATAGATATTTGATTTTATTGCATTTCTCTTCAACCTTAATAAGCAACTAAATCTTATTCTTTAGCTTTCATGACCCTATTATAAATGCGTTTTGTCAGCTGTGCAATGTTCACTATATATGCTAAAGATTTTTGCTTACCTCAGTAAATCATTCGCAATAATTATGTGGAGCAATACTGAAAAGCTATTTGATGAACAAAGCACAATTGCAAAGTTGCACTGAAAACAAAAAAAGCTTATGTGGTGAGCTTTTTGTATTTGGCTCTTAAAGTAAAATTATATTGTATCGCAAGAAAAGACCGTGGAGATTTACTTTAAATCAAAGAAAAAACTCAAAAGACCTAAAAAGACGAAGCGGTACATTTATGTCGATTTCTCTAAAGATGAGTGCGTGGTGTATCGTTTCGTCACAGAACTGCAGAAAGTTTGTCA